AAAGCCAGCCTGGGCAGGAAAGTCTGTGAGACTCTTATCTCCAATAAACCACCAGAAAACCAGAAGTGGTGCTGTGGCTCAAGTGGTAGAGTGCTAGCCGTGAGCTGAAGAGCTGAGGGACAGCGCCCAGACTCAGATTCAAGACCCACAACCGACAAAAAAAAAAAAAGAAGAAGAAGAAGAAGAAAATCTTTAAAAAAATAAAGAACTGAAGATAATAAGTTCTTTAATTAATCAAACTGGAGGTCTGTAGATATGGACAGTGGTTGATCAGATCTTGGGGGATCTACTTTGCCTCCTGAGAAATCAAGGCCCAGTTTCTCTCTCCTGGGGAATCTGGGAAGAACATCAAGTTCTAGAAATGTTCTTACATGAAACAAGATTACTTGACTTCATCCTTACAGTGAATGTCGTGGCTAGGATTCCTAGTGACTCTCTCATATCATGGCCACCAAATTGGGCTAGGATCCTCTACCAACACTCCAATAAAGCAGTTCTGCAGAGAGCCAGGGCCGGGAGCCCTGGGCTCACAGGCCTGAACTCGATGGGTTTTATAATGTTAGAAGAAACAGGTGAACTGGAGCTGGGAAGATGGCTCAGTGGTAAGAGTGCTTGCCTTGCATGCATGAGGTCCTGGGTTCAATTCCTCAGCATCATATAAGCAAAAAAAAGCCACAAGTGGAGCTGTGGCTCAAGTGGTAAAGTGCTAACCTTGAGCTGAAGAGCTGAGGGACAGTGCCCAGGCCCAAAGTTCAGGCCCCACAACTTGACCAACCGACAAAAAAAAAAAAAAAAAAAAGGAACAGGTGAACTGCAAATTCCTCCAAATGGATTTCCTCCCTTGGAAAATGAAGCCAGTGAGACTCTGGGAATGAGTAAGTGTTCCCTTTAAGGATTGCTACTGATGAGAAACACAGGAATGGCCCACAAGCCCAGACAGCTTATGGGCTGGAGCTCCAGAGAAAAATGTCAACAATGTACCAGAGACAGATCTTTCCTTATGAGCAACCTCCTGAGTAAACTAGGAAGTAAACATTTCAACAGACGGAAGGCTTGTTACATTAATTTTTTGTAGGCCAATTAACTGTTGAGGAATGTGAACCCAAAAAAGAGACATTCCTTTTAGAATATTGATCTGTGGCTCTTCTGGCAATAATGAGAGCTATTGCTTTTACAGATCAAGACAATTAAAGCTCAGCACCATGCAAAGGTTCTGGTCTTCTGAAGAAGCAGAAAAGAAGCTATCAACTCACTTAAAGGGACTATATGCTGTTTATGGAACTAATGTAAGGGGTCGGGCTTCCTGTAGTGTGTGCCTGTAACCCAAATCATTGGAGGAGACAGAAGTAGAAGGATGAAGGCGCCAGGCTAGCCACAGGTCCAAGCTCAAGACTCTATGTAAAAAATAAAACACAGCAAAAGGAGCTGAGGGAATAGCTTACATGGTAGAGCTTCAAACCCAAGTTCTCACCAAAAAACTAGGAGCCAACTAAAAGGCCTTCCTTGGAACACTCATAAAACATTTCTGTCCTTCTACCAGGCGGGATTCCTTCATATGTTTAAATATGACATGAGTTTATATGTTCATGCAGTTCATGCAATTTAGTTCCAAACCAAAGCTTACAAATCAAAGCACAAGGAAAAGTTAATTTTAAAATGAGTCAATAAACAAAGGAGTCAGTGATTTGAGAGGAAAAAACCAGTATAAGTGTATACTAACTTTTCAAGTAGGATAATTGCATTTGGGGGTTTATCCAGAATAAACAATTTGAGACTGGAATCCTATCATTGAGCAATTAAGACAAAATGAATCAGAGACCTACATATAAGAGTTAAAATGACAAAACTCTTAAGAGAAAAATTCTCATGGCCTTGAATTGGTTGCATAATTTTCAGATATATCACCAGGCACATAATAAGTGGACTTCAGCAAAATGAAAAATATATTTTTTTCTCTTCAAAATAATGATTAAGAACAATGAAACGACAGACTAGAAAAATATTTTAGATCATATTCACATAAAAAAGTCCATAATAACTCACACACCTGAAATAGAAGAAGGCAGATATACGTGTGTGAGAGAGAAAAAAAGAGAGAGAGAGGAAGAGACAGACAGAGACAGAGACAGAGAAATATAACTTGCATTTCTCTGGAAAGGAATTTTTCTTTTTTTTTTATTTTATTTGTGAACATACTGTACAGAGGGGTTACAATTACATGGGCAGGATAATGCGTACATTTCTTGCCAAGCATTGCAGCCTCCTCCTTTTGTTTACCCTTCACATCCCTTCCCAGCCTCCCCCCTCCCCCCAATCCCAATCCTTCTCCTTCCTCCCCCCCCCCCCCCCCCCGCACCGATGTTGTAAAGCTCATTTTGGACATGACAACTTGTACTTCTCATTGTTGCAACAGGTCCACCTGTATCCTTAAACAACTGGTTTTTCCCCATCTCCTCCTCAAGTTATACTGACATCAAATATAGTGAAAGCAGGGGTTATACTGTGGGGGAGGGACATACAAAGCAACAAAGAGATAATCTTATAAATGCGTTAGAAACACAGGCATGAAAGAAAAAAAAACATTAAAATACATATCTAAGGGTTCATTTTCCTGACATCATATTATCTGACCTTTTCCGCTTGACTCATACATATACTAGATATTGCAAATAAGGGAAACCATGGGACCTATGTTTCTTTGGGCCTGGCTTACTTCACTTAATATAATTTTTTCCAAGTCTTTCCATTTCCTAACAAATGGGGCAATGTCTTTCTTTCTGATGGCGGCATAGAATTCCATTGTGTATATATACCACATTTTCTTGATCCATTCATCTACTGAGGGGCATCTGGATTGGTTGGAAAGGAATTTTTCAAAGGTGCGAGACTGAGGTTTTGAATCCAAGGGACTGTGCTTGCTGAACAAACGTCTATCACTTGAACAACATCCTCAGCCCTTTTTGGTTTTATTATTTTTCAAATTTAGGTCTTGCTTTTTGCCTGATCTGGCCTGGGCTTCTGTCTTCCCAGTAACACTTCCTGCATAGCTGAGAGTACAGGTGTATATCACCACACTCAACTTTTTATTGGTTGAGGTGGAGTCACATGAACTTTTCTGCCTGTTTCTGCCTATTTCACCTTCCCACCTAGCGACCCTGACAGGCGTGAGCCACCACACCCAGCTCTGGAAAGGAATTTATTTCTGCCCTATGACCAGTTTTCTAAAGGTTCACTTGCCTTTCCACAAGGTTTCAAAGATGCTAAGCCAAAGGCAAATCAGGCAGAAACAAGCCAGGCGAGGCGGGTGGTCAGACTACAGATCAAGATGCCCACCATCTGTCAAAGCCTGTAACAATGTTTCTATACAGCCTCAAAAGAGTTTTCATGAGAGAAAAAAGAAAGGTAAAGAACATTTTCAAATGAAATGAATGCTTGCTGAACAGTGTTCTAGAGTGTTCCCAATAGTATGTGCATTTTTCCCAACCTTTGGAAATAGATAGGATTCTAACTTTGCCCCAGAAAGAGAAATAGAATTGTTAAAAAGGGGTTCACAACACGGTTTCCTGAAGGTTCTTCTATGGGCACCAGCCTGACTTCTGGTGCCGCTCATGTTCTAGCTGCCAGGACGCAACCCAGCCACCAAGTCATGGACACTATGCAGGAAAGGGCACCTCATGCTCCATTGTCCCACATTTACCCCTCAGTTAAAGGCAATCTACGTCAAGTGCCAGGTCCTTCGGGTAGGTAAGCCACAGTTCCTGAGGTGACACATCCTCTGTGTCACCTCTGGCTGCCTGCAGGATCCAACAAAACTTCCACCAAGAGCTTCATCACATGGCTTTTTGCTGGAGAAACCAGAGTTTGTACAAGGTTAGCTCTTAAGAACTGGAAGCAACAGCATACATACAGCCAACTCCACCATGCTGTGTGTGATGATGTACTGCCATGATACCAGTTGGTATTTATCATCCATCCTTCATGATTTATTTGCAAATGAAAACCAATCCCAAGCCTTCCTCCCTCACCGGTATGTGTTTATAAGCACAGACGTATCGCCACTACAGCTTCTCCATCCACATCGGTTGCAACAGTTCTGCTAGAATCATGACTAACCCCATAGGCAGGTCCTTGGGTGCCGCCAGCTGTACGGTAGAGTCTCCAATCAATAGAGTACAAGTTGAAGGCAAGTTCAGACTTGTTCATAACCTTTGAAGGAAAAGGGTTCTTTTCTAAATATTTCTACCAGGAAAGAAAGCAGAATACATAATTTGACACAAGCATTTCTTGCAAAAATATTCCACGTACCTTTTTATTTTTACCCAAGAATGTGAATAGCAGAAGTTAAGCTCTACTCCACGCAAGACTTTGACTACCACCACAGGGGACAGACTTAGTAATACTCTAAGACTCAAGATAGAGACAAGACTGCAACTTGCCACCACAGGGGACGGACTTCATAATACTCTAAGACTCAAGATAGAATGTGATGTCTGTTTTGCACATTACTTAGAACATTTTTAGGGCAGAGCAATCCATGATATTTTTAAGAAGGCTGAAAATGTCATAATGTTATATAACCAACCCAAGAATACAACCTACTACCTCTGCTCTTATCAAAAGATGAATCTTAGAATTTCAGGATGAGATAGTAAATTGGTTTTTACTTTGAAACCATTTTCTAACTTCCTTTCTGGGCAAGGGACAGGACATTTGAATATGGTAAAAAAAAAATCTGAATCAGCACTGAAAACAATATCATCCCGAGAGATGCATTGTGATTGGACAAAACAATATCACCTGTTATGGCTAAAATTGCCTTATCTGATAAAGCAGAGTTCTGATGTTGAAAGGTGATTAAGGAAATGAGCAGCAAGCAGCCTGTTAAACATTAAGCATTTCTCGGAATGTGAGCACTGTGCTAGAGGTCACAGCATCATAGGAAATGACTGTTCTACCAAGCTCAAGGTCTTCGGCTCTAACACACACACACACACACACACACACACATACACGCACACACAAAGCACTAAAAGGTCTAAGTATCTAATCAATTTCCAGGACACTGAAAGAAGCCATAAGCAATGAGACAGCTAATTTCTATCCAGGCTCCCTTGGCAATGACTTCCAACATCATTTGCTTCAAAACTCATTGTCCTGACAACCTTCAAATTGGAACTCTTCTTTAACTATGGTCTTGTTATTTAAAAGTTTGCCCTTCCTCTTTCATAGAATTATCAAATGTCTCTGGCCTTCCTAATGTTATCTCATATTCCTAATTCATTTATTCATTTTGTACATATTTACTAAAGATATACTACATGCTGGGCACTCTTTTTTAATTTATTTATTTTTTATTGTATAGGTGATATACAGAGGAGTTACAGTTACCCAAGTAAGGTAATGAGTACAATTCTTTTCAAACAGTGTTATCCCCTCCCTTGTTTTCTCCCTCTTCCACCTCCCAATTCTTCTCCCCCCTCCAAATTATAAAGTTCATTGCCAACACAGTGTCTAGAGAGTATCCCTACTGCATTAGTTCACCCTCTGTTAACACCCTTCTGTGGTTCCCCTTCCCTTCCACAAATCATCTAAACTTATATACAAGATAAAAGGTACAGAAATCAAAGACAGTGGCCACAGAGAAAAAACGGGGGGGGGGGGAGAAATAACTGCAAATAACAGAAATAACTGCAAACGGTACACTAAACACACACACACACACACACACACCTCTTGTTTCCGTATCTTGGAGTTTGTTTCAATTAGCATCATTTTATATGATCGTATGTATATAGCTATTGAGCTATTGCATCCTCTGCTAGGATTATCCTAATCATATACTAATTATTAAAAATGAGGGAAATCATGGAAGCTATCTTTCTTTGGGTCTGACTTACTTCATTTAATATGGTGTTTTCCAAGTCTCCATTTCCTTATGAATAGGCACTGTCATTCTTTCTGATGGAGGCATAGAATTCATATATATATATATATATATATCACATTTTTGATACATTCATCTACTGAGAGCTGTCTGGGTTGATTCTATATCATCACTATGTTAAATAAAGCTGCAATGAACATAATTGTGCTGGTAGCTTTAGTGTTGCCTTATTTGTGGTCATTTGGGTAAATGGCTGGGCAAACTTTACCCTTGTGGAAGAATTAGTGACAAATAGGTTTGGTGTTTTCTTAAAAAAACCATAGGAACAAGAATTCATTTATATTCTGTTTTCTCCACTTCCAGTTCATGTTATATCTTTTTGTCTATAGCTTTCAAGCATTTCTACCCATACATCATCTAATTGCTCCTCTACAAATAATAATAATCAAGCCCATTCATTTCCTTTTCAAAAATTTCAATTGATTTCCATTTCAAAAATGTCAATCAAGCCAGGCATTAGTGGCTCATGCCTGTAGCTATCCAGAGGTTAAGATCTAAGGATCATAGTTCAAAGCCAGCCCAGGCAGGAAAGTCTGTGAAACTCTTATCTCCACGTAACTACCAGAAAACTGGAAGTGGTGCCATGGCTTAAAGTGGTAGAGCACTAGCCTCCAGCAAAAGAGCTCAGGCTCAGCACCTACACCCTTAGTTCAAGCCCTATGTCCAACAAAAATAAACTTTTTCAGTTAACCAGTAGAGCTGTTTCCAATCCTCTGTGTACAATATTCAAATTGCTTCTTAGTATTCTCACTACAATTTTATACTACTGTGATTTCTATATAATTTATCATGATGTTTATAATTGTATCGTTGATAACTGACCCTGATACCATTCTATTACCTGCTTGTTCTTTGATACCTTTCCTGTTTGATACCTTTCCTCCATTCAAATTCCCTCCTCTACCTCCTGCCCTTCCCAAATTATCCTGAAAGCCCAAATTTGTCTACAAAAATGTGCTGAATACCTCTAGAATTAATCACTTTTTAAATCAATTCTGTTATGGAATCAACATACAACAAAATGATGTATTTGCCTATTTTTGGCTTCCCCTCTTAGCTAGGACGACAGTCAACAATCACTTTGTCCAGCTTCCTTCCATTAGGATACTACCTTGCAGACTTAACTGCCTAGATTGGCCTGGAACCACAATCCTCGCAATCTCAGCTTCCCACCGAGCTGGGGTGACAGACGTATACCGTCAAACACCACTATCTGCCAAGAAGAGACCTTGTGAACTTTTCTGCCTGAGCTGGCCTCAAACCATGTTCCTCTGAATCTCAGCCTAAACTTGTAGTTCAGGTTCCAAGTATGAGTTACTGGCATCTAGTTTATATTTTAAGTATGCATTTCCTCTGTTTGTCCATGAAAGAAACGCTCATATTTCTGAACATTTAAGTACTTGCGCTCATTTTCCCACTCTGTGTTATATAGGTAATTTTTTATGAATAAGATTCTGTAGTATATGATCACTAACATTTGCTACTTGCAGTATGAATAAGAAGAAAGATGACACAAAGGGTACCATTCTGCCAGTTTTACCACTTGCATGGAAAATGATGACTTTGAAGATGAAAGGAATAGAAAATTAACTCCCAAGGACAGATTTCTCACTGTGTCTCCATTTAGTGCTGGACTGTAGGACTTGGGGGAGATATAAGTGGGATGAGGGTTGGATTTCTCCAGAAGTATAAGGCACTTTGTGTGGTGTGTGTGTGTGTGTGTGTGTGTGTGTGTGTGTGTGTGTGTGTGTGTGTGTTTATCAAATGGAACCCTGGACCAAGAAAACTGAGTTTAAGGCACAGATAATTTTCTGGAACATGGCTCTGCACCCTTGAGATTCCGTCCTACAGTTCAGCTCATGTGTCAAGTAGAAGAGCTAGGCCAGACATCACTGATCCCTGCAGAGAGCCTTAAATCCAAGCTTTAAGAATGATTTTCTCAAAGCTATACAACTTCCCTACAAAATACCAAGGCAAAGAGTATTTCTAGGTCATAATCCCTCGTTACCAATTCATTCGTATCTGCTGGTGTTCCAGGTGCTGAAAGATACGCTAGGGGCTTTACAATCTGCCACTGGTAGTAAACAGAAGAAAAATTCCATATAAAAATGATTCTATTCATTCCATGGACTCAGCAAATAGGAGAGAGCATCAACAAATGGGATTGCATCAAATAAAAAGCTTCTTCACTATGAAGTACATAGTTATTAGCCTACAGTCTGCCTACAGAAAGGGAGATGTTTGCTAGGAATACACCTGATAAAGATCGAATAACCAGAATATCCAAAGAGTTCAAATAACCAACCCCCAAAAAAATCAATAACCTATTAATAAATGAGTAAGGTTGCTAAACAGACACTTCTCATATGGAGAGGTACAAATGGCTAATAATTACATTTTTTAAATGCTCAACATCCCTGGTGATGAATGAAATGTTCAATTGAAACAATATTGAGATTCCATTTCAATCCACCAAGAATAGCCATAATCAAGAAGTCAAACAGCAAGAAATTCTGTTGAGGATGTGGGGGAAAGAGTCCCAATACACTATTATTGGTCATGTAAATTAGCACAGTTACTACAGAAGTGTGGAGATTGCTCAAAAAACTAAAAATAGAACTATTTTATGTTCCAGCAATATCATTCTTGTGTATTCATCTGAAAGATCACAAGATTAGGTAAAATAAAGGCACCTGCATACTCATGTTTCTTGCATCACAATACCTGGTTATGAAAACAGTTATGAGACGTTCCAGCTGACCAGTGAAGCAATAAAATGTGTGTGTGTGTGTGTGTGTGTGTGTGTGTGTGTGTGGATATATAGGTATCTGAATGTGTGTGTATAATTTTTCATCAGGGATCATAATATTATGTCATTTGTGGGTAAATGGATGGACCTGGAAAACATCATATTGAGTAAAGCACAGGCTCATATATGGGAGCTGGCCCTAAAATATAAACATGCATGAAACAGACACAGAGCCATACACACTGTATGATCAAAGGTATGACTAAGGTGTTTGGTGTGTACAGAGTAGATTCCTATGGCCTTTCAACATTAGTTTAACAAAATAAACATTAGGAAACTGAAACATGTCTTGCCTAAGGAGAGGACAGACTGGGGGAAGGGCAAGGATGAATGGAGAGAGAGAGGGTAGGTGGGTAGGTAGAGTCATAACACTCGGTGTACATGTGTGAAAGCAGGACAGAGGGGTGGGGGAGAAGAATGGATGTGCATTGTTGCTGGGCACCGGTGGCTCATGCTGTAATCCCAAGGCTGAGATATGGGGATTGCAGTTCGAAGCCAGCCCAGGCAGGAAAGACTGTGGGACCACCTAAAATCCAGAAGTGGAGATCAAATACTAGAGTCCTAGCCTTGAGAAAAAAAAAATCTCAGGGACAGAGCAGGTCCTCAGTTTAAGCCCCAAGACCAACAAAAACAACAACAACAAAAGATGCATTGTACACAAAAACCGACTATTAATTGAAACCTGTTTCTAAATAATAATAAAAATACAAAACTATAAACCTTCATTTGAAATTTCCCGATATACTATCACAAATATTGGTTTCTTTTCTTCTTGGATTTTTTTCATTGTGAAAATACCGTATAGAGGGGTTACAGTTACATGGGCAAGATAATGAGTACATTTTTTATCAAGCATTGTTGCCTCCTCCTTTGTTTCCCCTTCCCATCCCTTCCCATCTCCCACCCCCGCACCCTGGCCAAAGTTGTAAAGTTTGTTTTTTGACATAACGACTTGTACATCTCATTGTTGCAATGGGTCCACCTGTATCCATATTTAAACAATTTGTTTTTTTCCCTTCCCCTCCACAAATTATACCAACATCAAATACAGTGAAAGCAGGGGTTATACCATGGGGGAGGGACATACAAAGCAACAAAAAAAATCATCTTATAAATATGTTAGAAACAATCTCATGAAAGAAAAAATATTTGAATATTTATCTTGGGGTTCATTTCACCTAACATCGACTTATCTGACCTTTTCTGCTTGTCTCAGACATATACTAGTTATTGCAAATAAGGGAAACCATGGGACCTATGTTTCTTTGGGCCTGGCTTACTTTTTTTTCTTTTTTTTTTAAATAAAGAACTAAAGATCCAAGAAGGTGAGGCTGATTGAAAGAGAAATAAAGAATCTAACTGTATGCATTATGGAAAGGTCATGAGGAAATCCCTTAGTATGTACAAAGTAATATATGCCAATAATATATAGAAAAAGAAAATAAATAATGAGTACAACAAAGGTTCTGCTCCAATGTTTAACCTTCCTCCACATCCTATGAGCCATCTGCTGCATTACTAAAGGCTCAACTGACTAGGTGATGATTAATTAATCCTACTTTCCCCTAAGCAGAACAGCAACCAAATGTCTTCCAAATCAGAGCTATTTTCTTTCTTAGTACGGGATAAGTATTAAACACCAATATTTAATAGACATCCTCAGCTACAGATTATATAAACACCAGCAATGGTACCATATGCTTTTGTTTCCAAATTGGTTCTAATCTGAGTTTCACGTTAAAGGTCAAATCCCTCTTTAGTTTGAGTTCATGTGTAAATATTTGCACATAGACACGTTACAAGACTGGTATTCTTGCGGGGTTGTTTTCTTTACCCTTACGTTGTGGGCAGCTCTCCTGAGAGTGACCACAAGTTCCAAGACCTATAGCAGACAGACAGGACTGTCACCAAATGCAATGGGTGGCCCTCAGAGATATTTTCTGAGCATCACGTTATTACCATTTTTATTACTTTCAAGTTATACACGAAGATAGAGGAATTAAAGATCGCTTTTCATTTTCATCTACATCTATTCACTAGGTAGGGTCAAAGAGGTAGCCAGGGAAGCAGGCCTGGTAGTGCGTGCCTACAGTCCCAACCCTCAGAAGCAGAGGCTGGATTGTGAGTTCAAGGCTAGCCTGGGTTTAAAAAAACACAACAGCCACAAAAAGACAGTCAAAGTAAAAGGGGGAAGCAAGTATCTTAAACTGTATTGAAGACATGGAGCTACAACAGAATGGAGGGGGAAGGTAAGTGAACATAGTCATTACATTCAAGGTGCATTGTATAAAAGCTGAACTTTGTAATTTATGGGTAAGAACGGGAGGAGGGAAAGAAGGAGACGTAGGCCAAGATGCATTGTCCTCATCACCTGACTTCTGGAACTGTAATCCCTTAATACAGCTACTTAATAAAAAGTAAAGATCAAAAGAGTATCGAAAGAAAAACAACGTAGGAAATATTTATTGAGAAAAGAAAAGAAACACATTTTTCTCCAAGTTTCTTTCCTTGAGCTATATTCAATTTTTATTATGTTATTATGTCAGTAAAGAATTCTGGGCAACAAAAAAAGGAAGAAAAAAATTTAAACTTATTTATTTAGCACTTTCGTACTTTTTACCAAAAAAGAAAACTCTCAGATGAAAAAATGGATATACCCAAATTGACCAGGGAGATTAGGTCAAATGAATTAAAATATCAGTTTGTTGTCATTTGTTCTTGTCTAAATTAGATACAAAAGTGAAATCAGGAGCCTGGAAATCAAGGTTATGAAATGAAAAAGCCCTTGTCAGCCAGAAACTTTCCTCTTCCCCATTGTTTGAGGGCTGACATCACCGTCCTCATTGTCTCTGCTCTAATTGTGGCAGCCCGCAGTTTGTACAATATTATCCAAGCCTCCACAGACACACTGGAAAAGGGAATAACCATTTTTGATGATTTGTATCTAAACTCCAATCTTCCCATTTCCTCTGAGCAGTGGAAAAAAAATGTGAAAAGTGATTATGAATCTTGAGCATGCATGATACAAAGCCCTTGGCTTTGAAAAATGAAAGCACAAAATTCATAATGCTCTGTCGCAGCTCCCCGGATGTAATTACATAAAGGGACAGATTCTTCCTGCCAGCCCTTGTCTTTGGCACTAGTAGGAGAAAATGCTGTCAATGCCCTTCTCTCGGCCACTGCTTTTGTAAAATGGCTATTATCAACCAGTGATCGGGACAGCGTGGGTCACATTTGGGCAGCATTAACCTAGAAAGGATTAAACAGTCCCTACCTCTTAAGCAACCAGATTTGATCCTTGGTCGGATGCCGCCACCTGAATAGAGCTCTTGAGACAGTTTATCCAGGGGGTAATTGTTTTTATTGTAAATGAGTATCCATTTATGGATTATTGTGCACTATAAAAGTTTTATTTATGTGCAGACTAATTCTGCATTCTTGATGTGTAAGAAGGCAAATCAGCCGGCTCTCCTGTCCCCAGCAGTAGTTACAACAAAAGAACAGTAGGATGCTGAATGCCAGTCCTTCCTAGCTTGCCCTCCTGTGTTAAGACGATGCGGGTTTTCAGTGCAAAATTTTAATTAGGTTTAAAAAAAAAAGTTCTATTCTTAGTTTCCAAAGGACATGGTAGAATTTTTCACTACCATCCTTGGATTTTTGTTCTCTCAGCTCTGAAAATGGGAGTCGGTGTAAGAGGCTAGAAGCCCTTGTTTTGCACACTAGATAGATGAAAACAAGAGTTAGGTCATCATTCAGGGAGTTTAAGCAATGGCAGCCATCATATAGGTGATTTTAGTCCTTGCTAGTGACAGTGTTCAGCCTGAATGTTCTAGATAGATAACTCTACATTCCTCTTTGTCCATGTGGGTGAAGCTTTCGGGGAAATAGGAAGAAACTTTGCTCTTTTTTTTTCTTTTAATTAGACCTACCTGCCATTCAAATTGCTGCTCTTTACAGCAGCATATTCTATCCAAATTGAACCCAGGGACTCCACTAGCACCACGGTTATTAATTTTTCTTATGAAGAGTGAAACCACATGCTCCCACACCTGGCATCTTGGTTAATTTAATCAACATCACCACAGACCCTACTGAATGGGGCCTGGCAGAAGAAGGTCGTCCGTGGCAGGGCTGAGCCCTCCGGTACAACGACCCCATTATCATGTAAGTCTGGTGCAATAGAAACAGGGAGGACTTAGAACACAGAAAGACAGATGCACTACGACAGTCACAGAGACGTCAGGAAAGAGAAAGGAAGTGCAGAGGGAACATGTCAGCACCCAGGTAATTCAACATCTCTGCAGTCAGGGACATACAGGAAAGCAATTCTGTGTGCCTACTGTATAAAGCCACCAGCACAGGCCAGTGACAGCTCTCACAGAGTCTCCTAGACCTGAATAATAAATTTGTCTAAATTAATATATATCAGAAGGCAACTAACTATAAACCCAAAATATGTACAGTAGACTAACACTATTGTGTTAGTCTTTTGACAATGTCTACACAGTCAGTGACTGGTCATCTGGCTGGTCCTTTAAAAATGAGCCTGTCCAGGAGCAGGTGACTCACTCCTATGATCCTAGGTACTCAGGAGGCTAAGGTTCACTTTTCAAAGCCAGCCTGGGCAGGATAATCTATGAAACACTTATCTCTAAGCCAGAGCTGTGGCTCAGGTGGTAGAATACTAGGCTTCAGCAAAAAAGTTGCAGGACAATGCCCAAGCCCTGAGTTCAAGCCCCAGGACTGGCACTGAAAGAAAAAGTCAGTTTGGAAAAGAAATTGTGTAGTTTTTTAGTGGACTGCTATTTAGAGAAAAATGACAATGTTATAATTACATTTAATCTTGAAGAATATCACTTTATATACCTCCTATATTCTTATATTCCTCAGTCTTAGGGAGAGTTATTGCTAAATGATAAGAGTTACAGCAATATTCAACTTGATCCTCAATCCAGCTGGGTCTCTATTACACACACACACATACACACACAGAGACATACACACACACACACCATACATATATAAATGCATATGCACACTTACACACACCTATCACACTTGTCTGGTTCTGCTTTCAGATATTTGCTTCTTGAGTACAGAATTCTTAACAGTACTAACATCAAGGCTCATTTACTGTCTTCACCACCATCTCATTCTACCTCAGGTGGATCAGAGTCTATAGTTGAGTCAAAAGAATTATAAAAAAAATCATTATATGAACTTGCTCAGAAAACACTGGAAGATGGAGTGAATCTGCGTCAGAGTCCATCGGCAAACCCCTGTTGTGCTTGAGAAAATTCTGGCTGCTGGCCAGTGGCCCCTTGACCTTGGACTCCAGATCTTGGAAGCCTTCACCAGCATCTGGAAGTTTCTCAACACCCCATCTTTCTGCTTGAAGGGCACAGTTCTCAATACTCTCCTCCTACAAGGAAAAAAAAATCCTTGGCCTTCCTTTTCTGATCTATTTTTGTTTTATTTGCTGTAACATTTTACAATTCTTATTAAATCCTCTGCCACAAGCTTGGATACTTATAAATGATAAAACACAGATCTTGTGTGCATGGATCTATGAATGTAGCCTAATGTCCATAATACAAAATGAGAGGTCAGTACCCTACCGTAACTGCAAAGACCTACCAAAGTTGGGGGGGAAAAAAGGAAGAAATCGCTTCCATGGGTACAGGATGCTTGAAGGATTGACAGTGGAGACTAAAAACACTCCTGGGGGTTATATAACAAGGTAGCACAAGGCAGACATGTGGAGGGAGCAGAAATAGAGCAGGCCTGATGGGAAGAACTAAGTGGAGGCATGGGACAAGAGAGTGGAGAAGCACGGTTGGAATAAAACCACCATTCAAAGCTGCAGAATGACATTGAGAAGTAAGATGGAGCCTGTTTTTAAAAAGGGTAGATTTCTTGCATGTCTATTTTATCCAAGAAGACCAGATTGAGAAAGGAAAATGTTTATGTTTGTATATTCATGGGCATGTGTGTACACCTTTACTGAAAATGGCCAGAATAACAAAACGCTCTTGAGCGTTCTGTGCTGAGCTTGAGGAAGTCAGTGCCATCCATGCACATTTACCAATCAGCTGCTTTCAGCTCAGAGGAAGAGAAGAACAGCTAGGAAATGCCAAGGAGACCTACTTGATATCAAAGATTCCAATCACATGTGTGAGAATGATAAACCCGACTCACATTTCTGTAAAATTTCACTTCGGATTCATGTTTAGCTGCTCAGTCATGAGGATCCTGAGACACTGCTGATCACATACTGGAGGGAAGGGAGGAGGGGAGAAGCGATGTCTTTGTTGCCAGTGCCTTCTACATTCAGCACGGCCGCGTCACTTTTCCCCACTTTAAGTCTCAATCAGTTTGATTGATGCACAGAACTCCCCGGGGAGGAGGGAAAGGAGGCTTGAAGTGCCATATTTCAAATCAAAAGTGGTTTTCTACACATCATCTTAATTTCCAGCGATGGAGAAAGACCAAGAATTCTAAGTAGCCGAGAAAGGTTCAAGGTTAATTTGATTGGCAATATATGAAATGCCACTTACCTCAGGCCATTTCAAATTGCCCCTCATTCTCTCGACGATGAATGAAATGATTCTTTCCAAAGACAGGGGGATCAACTGATAATGGCTGCTATTACATATTCATACACCACTTTACATTCTGTAGCTGGCTTGGCAGGAATTCTTGCCAGTCTGTCTTCACAGATTCCCCTGTCAGCGGCCTGGGTGGACTCAACGTGGACACTTCTGTAGGGGACAGAGGAGCAGAGATGGGCTAGCATGTCCGAGTTGCCTACGAAAGACCACATCTCGGGCTCACGGGTAATCAAAGGCTCCACTCCGGCCCTGACTGTCCACCTGCCAGGGAGGTCCCGTGCAAAGACCCAGTACTCCTGGCGTAACTTTCAATTTTATCAATATGGAGAACATCACAGGGCTAGCCTGAGGTGACAAAAATCATTTTGTCCCTTAACGAAACATGACGATCCTCTGTGAAAGCTAATTTCCTCCTTCTAGAGAAAATAAGAAAGGTGGAGGTTTTAATTCCAAAAGAATTTGAAAATCATAGGAAGAATTTTTATGTGCTGTTGAGTTTCCCAGCTGTGATGCAGGAAGCGTGTTGCTTCCTGGAACGCGAGCCCAAAGACACTGAGGTTAAATCAATTCTACCAACATGTATTTGCTATCTCCTGTGCGCCAGGCACACGGCCGGCCAGCTTCATCTGTACGAACCAGGTTAGGTCGCACATCAAAGGCAGTGCCAAAGACACACTTCCCTGGGAACCCAGCCTGAGGGAAGTGGAACAGAAAATGTGGTAGTGAAGTGAACGCCATCTATCCCACCGGGCAAAAGAAACCTGAAGCTGGGGCTCACTCCAGCGCAGCTATCAGCTGCACTTTTTTTTATTGTATTTTGATTCTCTTTAAGTGGTTGTACAAAGGGGTTACAATCTAACATATCAGTCTAGGCGTCGTGATCAATATCGCTCTCTCATCCCTCTCTGCCATCCCTTCTAACCACATCATTCCGTTTCATTATTTTCAGCTAAGGTATCTTGCTCTTTCTCCCTCTCTTGCCTCTCCTCTCCCCTCTCTTCTTCCCACTCCTTCTGTGTCCCAGTCATTTAGTGACATGGCCAACTGCTGAATAGCTACATTTTAGTGTGTGTGTGTGTACGTGTGTGTGTGTGAGAGAGAGAGAGAGAGAGAGAGAGAGATTCACTGTCTTCCTTCAAGGTCAGTGATAGCCCTTACCTGATGACAGTGCCCAAAGTAATACACAACTGAGGTAAGCCTTGAGAAGTTGACCTATCCTAAGTTTCATGTCATTAAAAGCTGTGCCTATGCCAAAACTGATTAAGCCTGAGCTAACCCAGAGGTGTCCACAGACTTTCTCCACAGACCCAGAGTTTGGGCGGTGAACTCTCACCAAAGACATTCTGTTATTATTTCTGTCCATGTTCTCATGTTTTTGCTACTTAGGAGTTATCCAGGAGTTGATGTTATTAGTTAAGATGTATATTTTTTGGGCCACAGTCCTTTTCTCCCATGCAACCATGGTGTGTGTTCTCTTCTTCTTGGGTTCTGATACCTGTGCTGAGCTGAGATTAAAATTCTGGGTGATGGGAGTCAACAGGTACGAGATTAGCTGTGTCAACAGAAGTACAAATGCTGCATGATTCTACATCCATGGGATGTCTGAGAGGGGCAAACCTGCTGCTTCTCCAGAAGAATACCCCATGGTAGATGAGCATAGCAGATTTCACGGGCTCGGAGACTCAGCAGGAGAAGGCCCTGATGGTTTCTCCTGAGCTTTAGCTGTAATAGCTATAGCCAAAGCAAGGCAATCAGATTCCTAGAGGCACAGCATACGATAAGGAGAGAATCTCCATCACCAAATGGGGCCACCTGCTCGGAAGCATGAGGCTCAGTGGCTGGAGGAGATAGCTTTCTCCTGCTGATCAAGAAGTCTGAGATTTTGACTTTTTCCTGGACTCTTTCCTCAAGGACTTCCTTGAAGACCGTGCGTGCACAGACTCACACATCGGTATGGATGGGTGTTAGGTGCTCTAAGAAGGAAGCCACTGCCATCATCTTAGCCCTGTCAGCATCATCTCAGCCACGCTCAACATTGTCCCTGTGTGGGACTACTGAGGGGAAAGTATCCGCAGGCGGCACCATCCCGTGCAAGGTGACAGGAGCTGGTGTACCTCCTCCTACCCCTGCAAGCCCTGTGGCACACTCAGTTCCTGTGCCCATGAAGTTGCTAACAATGGCAGATGCCAGCTATATGTCCACCTCGAGCTGAACTGAGTAATGGGTAATGTCCAGTGTACCAAGGCTGTCTTAGATGCTATCCTGAAGACATACAGCTTCCTCACCCTTGATCTCTGGAAAGATACCATGTTCATCAAGTGTCTCCAATCAGGAACTTGCCCAAATATCTTGAAGGAAAAAAAAAAACCTACTTAAGCATTTGTGCAGAGGATTCGGGTTCCAACTGACCCAGGCCGAAGGACAGAGATCTGGAGCCTTGCAATCCTAACACAGCTTGGTACTTCTGGGAATCCACATCAGAAGCCACTGGATTAGAATATGTCTGCACCCCCAGGGTGACAATCTGGAGACATCACTGTACTTCAAACTTCCTTGAGAGATCAGAGTTCCTGTTAAATTATTTTATAAAATACTTTTTTAAATTAAACTGGCAAAGTTTTGAGACTAGGGGGAAGAAAAAACAGCCCAGACACCAACTTAACAAAAAAAAAAAAAAGGCAATTGATAAAATGTTTTCTTTCAGTTCAGCAAACCTAAGGGAAGTCTCTCTCAAAAGAACTCAGGTGTGTTCTGAGCCAGAAAGGAATGGAAGCAGTCAACTGGGAAGAGCCTATCTGCATCCAAAAGTCAGGAAAAATAAAAATAAAACTTCACATAATGGAAAGAGAGCCTCGGGCAACACTAAGCCATTAGGCCCAGTGGCTATTCCCTCACTCAGGCCTCTAAGATGAAGGGAGGTCTGCTTCCCAGCTGGGACCATGCCCACCATCACTTTGCATGCCCACAGTAATACCCACACCTGCTCTGCTCCAAGACCATCCTGAAGCCCACGCTTGGCTCCAACATGCACACATAGGCCACCTTGCTGAGGCCTGGGGCCCGCACGGGTGCTTTGTGACAAAGCAGCGGCAGTAACGCCATTAGCTGACATGGTAAGCATTAAGCCAACATTTGCATGGCTGGCTTTGATTATTAGTACTGGCCACTTCCCTGCCTTTAATTATTCTCTTGGATATCATTCTGTCAAACAGCCTCCATTTTATTCACCATAAAAAGTTGCTATGTGCAATACCACACAAGGTCCCCTTAGAATTTGGGGGTCATTTTTGTTGCTTTTATCCTGAACTGACCATCTCCATCTCTCACTTTCATGTTTTGAACATTGGTTACAATTTTAAATCTGCTGGACTGCCCATAGCTAATGATCGTCTTGTGTTCAAGAAAAATAGTACACTTTCTCTTTGCATCTTACTATGGGAGTTATTATTTGGAGTAAAGTAAATGCTTTTAAATTTCACCCATCATCCACATGATTATAAGCTTCTCCATTGAGGTCCCACTTTTGTAGACACGACAAAGCTAAATAGTGGTGTGAAGGCAGAAGTTGTTTATGAAAGGGAACACTAACCAGAAAGTAAAGAGAGGAATTTGACTGTGAGTTACAGTGCTTTGGAAGCAGCAAGATTAAATACTAAGCACTGTACAGATATTATCTGATTTAGGACAACCGTCTTGCCCATTTTACAGATGAGAAACTGAGGCCAGACACCTGGAGCCACTTGACAAAAGTCACATAACTGAGAAGAGACAAAACTCAGAATCCCCTCTATCCAGTTCTAAAGCCAGGCCTCTTAATCATTTCACCATGTGCAGATTTTTATGCGATCTTTTGTGCATGTGCTTTTGTTCAAAATACCTTTCAGTGTTCAAGTAGCCAAATGAAAATGACACATAATGGAATAAGGACTTTGGCACTCTCACGCCCCTTTTAAGCTCTCGCTTCTTTTCTTCTAATGCACCCTTTGCTATTACCTGGTTTCTATTCAGTCACAGTTAGAATGCAATAAAAGGGGGAACAACACAAACGATACTGAAATAGCACATGTCACCATGGCAGAAGCCGGTAAGAACACAGACCAACAGCAAAGCAAGGTTTAAGTCCCTCCTCGGCAGCTGCTGCGGCCTGCCGGGTACCCTGGCTTCACGCAATCAGCCACACACCGCAGAACTTTGTGTTTCTGCCCACAATGAAATTTCCATGTTATTATGGGATTCATAGAACAATCTGGGGAAGGTCATATTTGCATAAGCCAAGTGTTCCACAGTGTGTATGGCATCTTTGCCTAATACAAGATTAAATCACGGTTGTGGACTATGATTAACCCTCTAGATTGCCCTAAATGCCAGCCAACCTTCACTTAAAGGGGAGTGGCTGAAAATGCAAGTTGGGAACTGCAGTTCACTCTCTCCAACACTCAAAAGCTCCAGTGATGAGGAGCCATTCAGGGGAGAAGCAGGACTCAGAGCGTCTGTCCTTCGGCAAGTTTGTTCAGAAAGGAGACATGGGTGTCAGTGTAGTGCTGATGAGACTACTTCAAAGGACCATGTTCAGGGATGTCCCCAGATTGTCACCCCAGGGGGGTGGGGGAGGAAGGAGGGGAACACGTTCTAATCCACTGGCTTCCTCCTCTAGAGATGCATTAGGACTGCAAGGCCAGGCAGTGTGCCTCTCTTCCCTGTTCTTTGACCTGGGTGACCTCACTTTTATCTAGTAAGCATGCTGGGATTCCATCATGGTTGGGTTAGAAGGAATCATGGATGCTCAATACAAAGTTAGATGTCACTGATTGAGGGCAATGGCCATATTTTACTTGCAAGGGGAGGGTCAGGAAGTGAGATGCAATATTGTGCCCAGGAGTTCCAGGCTGGAAGGTGGAGAGATCCACGCTGGAACTCAAGATCTGGGTTTGGATTTCTAAGCTAGATCTCAAATCTCCACCAGTTGGGATATGCATTGTCAAGGGTTCCAGTGTGGTATAATTCAGGTGGTCTGTGATGCACAGACACCCCTAGTGAACTGCTCATGTTCTAAACCCCCCACAGAGACTTTCTGAGCATGTGCGTTCCAATCCGTCTAGCCGAATTCCTCCAGCAATTATTTCACATCACACTTGGTGTTGCCAAACATGGGCCCATCTTTTGTCTCGACGTAGTCCTTTCTCAA